TATAGCTCAGGCCGACCGTAACAATGGAAGAGCAGGAATAATCCCCAACTTCCGACGGAAATCCTCCAAATCCTCATGAAAATGGCGCTCGTAATACACGCTCATCAAGTCTGTACATCTCACACCGGCTTTGAGTGCCCATGGGAAGTAATGTTGATAGAACAATTCCCTCTGTTTCTCGCTAAATCTCAAGCTGCCCCCCACAACTGATAGTGCGCACATAGGGAGTAGCATTTGCTCGAATTCTATCACCTTCAGAGCAGACTCGCCAATCAAATTTGTGGGCAACCCAAAAAGGGTGTGCCAAAAATCGTGTACCTCGCGTGCACGCGTGGCAACATAGGCTATTTCTTCAGTTTCCATGAAACGGACGGGCGGCCGCTCGTCTGGGGAGAAGTTTCTGGATCCCATGAAATTTGCGTAGGCAGCACCAAACGTGTTCGGCGGGAGGTCCCATGCATGGCTCACACTGGCAGAGATAACTCGAGGCCGCTCTAATAACACAGACTGTGAGGTAAAGAAGCGGGGCAAAAAGTTCAGCAAAGTTTCAGATTTTTGTGCCTTTCTGCGCAGATGTTTATTTATTGTTTTTTATACCTCGGTTAGTACATGAAGTTTAAAGGCAAAGTTATACACCCAAAACAAACTCAAAGCAAGAAGCAGACCTGAACATACTATCTTCCACATAATGTTTTGGATGACTAAACAAATCGAGATGATTACATGGACACTCTTTAAAAAAAAACAGAATTATTACATTCTCGCACTGTAAAATTACGTTCTGGTAAGCTCGAGTATGCCATGTTCAAGGCAAGCAAATGTTGATTCACCTGTACCAGCTCGGGTAAACAACATTTGACATTCATATTGGCTGAACCTTCACCATTAGATATTAGATTGCGAATGCAGTCCAAGAAAATCTAAACCGAGACTAAGGAGCCATCATTGAATGCGATTTTACAAGATTGTTCTTTAGTTATCCAACATGCCATGTTCATGAAGATCTATGAAATATTGGACTACCGTACATTGTTTCTCGTATGAGCTTAAATGACAGGAAACCTCCTCACAACCAGCAAAACAACATGCTTGTCTAGGATATACGATAGCTCTTGCTGAGCTAAGACAGACTGCCACTAGCAATTTATTACCAATTTAATCAAAGATACCATGAAAACGAACACTCTGCCCAGAAGAATTACATGATGCATATGTGCTAAAAGTCATGATCAAGGAAAGACATGCTACAACTAATTTTTTCTAAGAAAAAACAAAATTAACCAAATGTATGCGTAACTCGCCAACAGATTGAAGAGTTAACAGCCACTAGGTTGTAAGTAAGAGGCTCACCCTGCCTTCTGGATTCTTCTTCATCCTCTGGAGCACACTTTCGAATGCGGGCTTACCAGTTGTTTCTCCAAGAGCAGCTATCAAATCGGCTCTCCGTGGGTCCAATAACGCCCCAACCGCTGATCCGACTGCGACGGCCGCTTGCTGCCACCCCTTAAGCCGGAGCCGTGCGCCCCCTATCATTTTTCCCTAATTCCTAACTCGTAATTATCAGAAATCAGGATACACCCAAAAAAATAAATAAATAAATAAATAAATAAATAAAACTATCGTATACTGTGGGAAATGCTACCTAGCAGATAAAACAATAAATTACGGAGGCTCAGCGACGCAAATTTATTTGTCTTCCACTTACAAGAGAAAGATGACGGATTTAAAGCTGGAATTAATTTTACCTTGACCTGCCGATACACCGATACACTCCGAGCTTGTATCAGGATGGCGATGGCGATGGCGATGGCGATGGCGATGGCGATGGCGGTGATTGGCGTAGGCGCGGGAAGTTCTCTTTCTTGGGAAAAATACGCTGAAATTTACGTGAAGTCGGATCTATAAAAGTGAAATAAAAAATAAAAAATTGGACACACCAATTTGATAACGGAGTTCGGCCAATAATGTCTACGTCTCCGGACTACTGCAGATATTTTATTAGGAGAAAATAAAACACTCGTGTTTACAAAACACTCTCGAAACTCACTCACAACTCACAATTAAAAAATACACACAAAAGCTAAAAAAAAATTTTAGCTCACTCTCTTTTTCTTTCTTCTTGTGTTGTTGTATTTTTGTTGTTGTGTTTTTTCATCAGAATTTGAGTGCACGCAATTTTTCAACCTAAGG